ACTTGGTGAGAAGCAGGCCTTTGTTAACTGGGCATTTGCAGCATGTAATGACAAGAATGGGTTTTTTCAGTTGTCTTGTTTTGTTTTAATTCTTTTTGATGCACAGGAGTTTCTCCTGGCTCATGCACCCAGGAATTACTCCTGGCGGTGCTCAGGGGACCATATGGGATGTTGGGAATTGAACTCGGTCAGCCGCATGCTAGGCAAACGCCCTACCCGCTGATGACGAGAATGTTTTATGTTTCTTTATTTTAAAAAAAGAAAATCCATACTTCTCAGAGGCTTGGCCACACTGCTCGTGAAGTGCATGGAAGCGTGCATGTTCCTCCCCTCCGATGGCAAGATTTGGACTTGCAGAAGTTTCCGAGAGGCCTGCCAGCCAGGCTGCTCCAGGGGCTGCCACCGAGGAGAGGACGAGAGTCGGTGTGGCCGCCCGCCTCCTGCAGCCCTTTGTTACCCTGCAGAACATCAGGCCCTGCTCCCTGTCGCAGGCCCCCTGACTTCCTCCTGTGCCGGCGCTTCCTTTCCAGCCCTCCTTGACGGTTGGTCTTTGCCCAGCTTGGGCCACTGGCTCTTCCCCTGGCTTCTGTCTCTCTCCCCCCGGCCTGACCTCCTCTTGTGCCCTGTTGAAAGCTCTTCTTCCCCCTAGGCCCCAGGTGCCACGTCTAGTCACCATTCCTTGCATATTTATTGTCCTGCACGTCACTGCCTCCCGTTGGTGTCCCAGGTGCCATGACCATCACATCACAAGTGTCCCTGCGCCTCAGTGAGTTCTCCCTCAGCAAAACTCTCTCCCGGCCTCCCTGACTGCAGTCTCCCCTTCCTCCTGGCCATTCTGTCATCAGTCTCGTTTGACTGCGCTCCACAGCCCTTATACCCTTTCCCACTCATCACCTCTCCCAGGGACCCCTGAGTTCCGGCCCTGTGTCCCCACCCTCTTCCTCTCTGGTTTCCGTCACACAATCCCTGAATCCTGCCCCAGCCTGGGTCCAAGTTGGCTCCCTCGTGGAGCTCTGCCTGTGCCAGAGAAACTGCTCAGAGGAACCCAGATGACATGACGAAGGGGGAGAAGGAGAGGGGGAGGGTGTAGGTGAGAGGGTGCGGGTGTGGGTGGAGGTGAGGGGGTCAGGGTGCAAGTGAGGGTGAGGGCTTGCCATAGATAGCGAGTCTGCTCCCAGCCTCTCCACCCCACAGGCTCGGCTGCAGAGCTGCGTCCCGCCGTGAAGGTCCCTCCCAGCGAGGCTTTCCGTAGCACCAGGGAACGGCCCTGGCTCTAGGCGCTTCCGCTGCGTCTTTGCTACGGGACTCGCGGTGGGAGACACTGCTGCTCATTTGGGTGCTGGCGGGTGGGGGTGGCCGTTTGCCTGCGTCACCCACTGAACAGGCGTCCTGGTAACTACTGTCAGATGTCGGTCAGCACAGCTACACACAAGCAGTGTTTGAGCCCCAGCTGTGTGCAGGAATTCAACTCTCCTGGCGCGCTCTGTGCATCCTTCGCTCCGGACTTGGCCCCCCCAACACTGCCTCCACCCCCGGGGCCAGCTGCAGGCCCACGCTCTCCCTCTGCACTGCCGGCAGCTGCTGTCACATGTCCATGTCCCCTCCTTGGGTTTGATCTAATTGGCTAGAGCAGCTCACAGAACTCAAACATTTTAATTGCCAGAACTCTGGCTTACTATAAAAGGGCCTAGAAGTCAGGAACGGCCAGGTGCAAGAGGCATGTAGGAAGAGATATAGGGGCAGAACACAGAGCTTCTGTCCCACTCAGGCACATGGCTCTTGCCGGGTCACGTGTGTTCACGGACCCAGAGGCTCTCTGAACCCTCTTGGGTCTTTATGGAGGCTTCACTATCAGGAGCAGTGACTGAATCCTTGGTCTTCGGCTGTTCTCAGTCTCTCTCTCAGGGCAGTGGGGCTGCAGGGTGAGACCTCAGATAACTGAGTTCTCTTGGCAGCCATGCCTCGGCCCTCACTCCTTCCCAAAACCACCTTTTTAACGTAGCAAGAAAAGACGTCTTCATTCCTCTGCCTTGGGAAATTCCGTGGCTTCGGGAGCTGTGAGTCAGGAATTGTGAAAAAAGGCCAAATGTACAGAGAAATGATATCTAAATGATGGAATATGTATCTCGTATAAATCAGAAGGGTGCGCCGCTCCGTGGCATGTAAGTCACCCGAGACCAGCAGTTCCAGAGTCAGTGTCCCCCGAGCTGGTCCTGAGTGAACAGACTTGGGCTTTGAGGCAGCACGGGATTGGAGAGCTCCTCATCCGGACGTGGCTCAGAGAGAAAGCGGGAGCGATCTCACGCCCCAGGGCCTCGTGGGAAGGCCACAGGGCGCCCAGGGCAGAGGCTGGCAGGCACTCGCACACCCACACGGGCAGCAGGGCTGGACCCCGTGGCCAGTGGCAGCCAAGCTTTCGTGGCTGCGTGCTGGCCCCGATGGATGGCTCCTCGGCTAGAGACTTTTAACCTAATCTGCAGTCTTGAGCGGGGTCAGATTTTCCTGCCCTGGCCACGCGAAATGGTTGCCTGACGCATAGCAGCAGGCCGAGCTCTGTGGTGGCGGGCATCGCCTGAGCTAACAGCATAGGCTCCTCCCTCCCCCCACCCCCTCTCTCTGGACAAGATTTGGGGGTGCACAAAGGGCCAGGGGATGCTCAGAGGTTCCCCTTGGGCTTGGGGCTTTCTGACCCCGTCTCCCCCTCAGGGGTGCCCAGCCGGCCGCCTCCCACTTGCCCTGGCTGTGGCAGCCAGTCCGCCTTGCTCTGTGCTGGTTTTGCCCTTGTCAGGTGTTAGAAGTGAGCCCGCCCGGGCTGGAACTCCAGGAGCCATTGTTTTCCGCCCTGTTTCAGTCGCTTGGGCGTGTCTGGGAAATGCAGGGCTGCAGCGCTGACTGGGGGCTCCAGGTTGCGTCTGCCTGCGGAAGCTGGGGAAGCCAGGGTTCCCACAGCTGGGGCGCTGGGGCGCAGACATTTCCGCTGGTGCGGGAGCCTGTGCTGAGGCCAGGCACGTAGGCGACCCTGCCAGGGAGCGGGAGCGGGGCCCACAGGGGCTGCGGCAGCAGGAAGTGAGGATTTGTTTTCCTCCAGAAGTGACTGTGACCTAGGGGGCAAGGGTTGGAGCCTTTAGCAGCCGTATGCTACCCGGGGCCTCGCACACAGCTTAGACTTGGCATTAAAAAGTCGTGTGATGGGCCGGGGAGACAGTCCTGGGGTGAAGGCACCTGGCATGCAGCTGACCCGCGTTCAGATCCTGGCACCTTCCGAGTACCACCAGAGTGATGCCAGAACCACACCTTTGTCTGCCTCAAGTGCCACGATGCCTGGTGTCCTGGGCTTCCTCCCGGGGCGCATAGTAGAGGCTCGGAGGGTGGCTCTGAGGGCCTCAGACCACAGTGGAGTCCCAGCCTCCTGTAAAAGTGCTCGTATGTGAACCTTCCAAGTACCACCAGAGTGATGCCAGAACCACACCTTCGTCTGCCTCAAGTGCCGTGATGCCTGGTGTACTGGGCTTCCTTCTGGGGTGCAGAGTAGGGGTCGGAGGGCAGCTCGGAGGGCCTCAGACCACAGTGGAGTCCCAGCCTCCTGTAAAAGTGCTCGTGGGTGTTGAGGGGGGTTATGGTAACGCACCGCCACTGAGGCTTGCTGTTCTCCCAGTGCCTGGGACAGGTCACTTCTGCCTTCTTCCCAGAGTAGGAGGCCTCTTCTTCCCGGATGGAGCTGGCTGCTTCCTGAGGCACAGGAGACGAGAGTCGGTCCCCCTGGGGCCGTCCACGTGTAGCAGTGACCGTCAGGCACCATCTGCAGTGCCTTCGGGTGGGCACTAGTTATTCCAGAACTGGGCCCTCAGGAGACAGCAGGCCTGGTTTGGACTGTGCCCTCCTGTCCCTTCCTGCTATGTTTGTCAGGAGACCTATGGCCATGTGTGACCCCTGAGGCCATGGCCCCAGCCTCTTCCTCTCCATTCACCCCTCACCTCTGTACGGAGGCGCCCACCTTGTGTCTGGACCTGACAAATCGTAAAGGGTTTGGGGGAATGGGGAGCTTGATAAAACTGTATACATGGCCACACAGTGTTAGTACCACTCTGTTCTGTGGATCTTTCCTGAGGGGAGTCAGAGCCAGCATCCAGCTGGTGGTCAGTTCGCCTTTGGGCACCCTCACTCAGTTCCTGGGAGCCTTACTCAGCCGCTGAGGGCTGCATGAGTGCGCAGTGAGACAAAACAAGAGGTGTCTGGGGAGTCTTTGCTTTGGGTTGTGTTGTTTGCATTCGTGTGTGAGTCGGCAGTGTTTAAGTGGGGACTGGCTTCTTCAGAAAGATTCTTGAAAGCAGTGGGAAAGGTCACATAACAGCTAACCATCGTATATGATAAAATGCTCAGAATGGTGCTTTACCGTTGTAAATACATTTGACTTGCGTTTGAAATGAAAGTTCTGCTTCAAGGAAAACACCCGCTTCTCCCAGGGCACTGTGGGAAAGTGCAGTGCTTGGCTCCGATTCGTGCCTGCATCTCGGCTGGGTAACAGACGAGCCGAGATTCCCGACCTGCCACAGCTGTTTCTTTTCCCCTCTGGTTTTGGTTTGGGAGCCACACCCAGCAGTACCCAGGGGCATTTCACAGCCCTGTGCTCAGGGAACCATCAGTGCCAGCTGGGGATTGAGCCCGGGCTGGCCGTGTGCAGAACACGTGGGTCACCCATGAGCTGCCTCTCCAGCTTCAGAGCGTCCCTGACTAGGCGGTGGGGATGAGCCCGGCTCTGCCCAGCATGGCCCCGCTGCTCACTGCTGGCCCCGCTGCAGCCAGACAGAAGGACCGTGGCTCGGATTTCCAGGCAGCCGTGACAGGGCGTGAGGGGGGTGGCATGCTTCCTGATGCCAGCGCTGTGTGGGGCTTCTCCAGGCCCCATCCTGCCCAGGCCCAGGGGTCAGGTGCCGCCTGCGGCCTCTCCCCAGAGATCAGGGCGTGTGGGGCTCACGTGTGTTTTTCTCCTTTCCCTACAGAATATTGACATTACAAACTTCAGCAGCAGCTGGAACGACGGTCTGGCCTTCTGTGCGCTCTTGCACACGTACCTTCCAGCCCACATTCCTTACCAGGAGCTGAACAGTCAGGACAAGGTAAAGCCGCTAGGGCGACAGCCCGTGAGGGCTCCTCGCTCAGTGCCCGCCCCTGCACTCCTGGGTGGGTTTGGGCTCATTCCGGGTTTGGGCTATGACACCAACAGCTGAAGGTTCCCAGAGGGACCATCCAGTCCTTCCTGTGGCGACATGAAGGAGGATGGGCTTCACTGGGATGGGCAGGGGAGGGTGTTGCCAAGACTGGAAGTTGCTCCCTGGGTCCCACCACCCTGAACAGGACTGCAGGCCACAGGCGAAGTGACCTGGCCCAGCCCTCCATCCCCAGCTTTGTGCCCACCCGCACTAGCCCTCCTAGCCTCCAGGCAGACTGATCCATCCCTGCAGAGAAGAATCTCTTTGACACGTGTTTCATACTAGATTTGGGGGTACGTGTCCAGGCCATCCAGGCCCTCTGTCAGAAATGACCCTTTTCTGTTGTGATTGTGGGGGGCTGTTGGCAAGCCTGGAATGAGTCCCCGGCACGGCTGGAATTCTAAGGGTGGCTAGGTGTCTGCCTGGCCTGGCCTGTTCTACCTCCAGTGACCCCCTTTCTCTTCCAGAGAAGGAACTTCACCCTGGCCTTCCAGGCGGCTGAGAGTGTCGGCATCAAATCCACACTGGTGAGTCCATCTCCCCCGCCCCCACGGGCAGGGCCCCTCTTGTTGGGAAGAGCTTCCTTATTTAGGGAGATCCCCGCATGGCCAGGGACTGGCTCTCTCCCCTACCCACTGGCGTCTCACACAGCCTCCAAGGAAGCATCCAAGTGTGGGGAGCAGCCTGGAGCCAGCCTCCTCCTTACCCGAGCCCCAGGATTCCGTGGCATGCCACGTGTGTCAGTGGCTCCGCCCAGCACATCCAGCAGACCTTTCTCCCTTTGTCAAACCGGGGGGGGGGGGGGGGGGGGCTTTTGAGGACGGTGACTTTAGAGGCTCAGTCGGTGGCCCCCATACCTCTTCACGGAGCGTCCGCTCTCACAGGCCACCTGGGAGCTGCCATACACGGTGTGAGGAGTGCGTTGTAGAAAACCCGCCGACATTCAGGTTGTCTTTCAGCCCCCGTGTCTGCAGAAGCTCCCTGCCGTTGGTTCCGCTGACGAGGCCCCTGCCTTGTCACCAGCTCTGACTGACTCGGAGAAAATAGTGTCCACGTGCAGAAGCCCCTGGATCCCCTTTCGCCAGCTGGGCTGGGCGCTAGGTGCTGGCACACCCCCATCATCCCGCAAACAGACACGGGGCCTAAGAGTGTTGCTGGAGCCCTCCTCTGCCTGTCTCTGCATCCACAGAGTGCCCAGAGAGAGCGCAGGCACGGTCACCAGACCTGTTTCTCCTCCCTGGACATTGCCTGTCATGTGTATGGTTCAGGGATAGAAGCAGTGGCTGCTTTCCCCGCCCTCGAGTCCTTTCCCTAAGAGCTGGGGAGCTGACTCCAGGGAGATGTGGGGGCCCTGACACCCCATGGTAGCCCGAGGCCTGGTCCCTGCCACTGGGAAGGGCCTCTCAGACCAGGGCTCTGTACTGCTCCCTAGGGAAGTCACACAGTCTTCAGCACCCTGAGCTCTTGAAGTTCCCGCCACAGCCCACACCCAGGCATTGCCAAGTCTGTTAGAGCAGCAGTCCGATCTCATGGGCCACCAATGTGAGAGGAGACTGTCTTCCCTGGCTCCCCGCTTTCTTCTGGCTGAGGTCTGGGACAGACTCTGAGAAGTAAGGGAGTGTAGCGAGATGTTTAAGGAAAAGAGGCAGGTTTCAGGGGAAGCTCCCCGGTGGCAGCTGAAACCTTTCCAGCCTTGAGGGTAATCAGACTGGGGTGGGGGTGGGGGGTTAGGGCAGAGCCACACCCCGGGAAAGTGGGAAGAGATGAAGCTGGGAACTCGATCTTGGCCTCGGGGTCCTGTCCACACCAATGAGCATCAGGGTGTGACCACAGCCAGATTGCTGCTGGGGTGGGCCAGGGGATGCCCAGAATCCTCACCCACCGTTTCCTTCTCCGCCAGGACATTAACGAGATGGTGCGGACAGAGCGGCCCGACTGGCAGAACGTGATGCTGTACGTGACGGCCATCTACAAGTACTTTGAAACCTGAGCACCCGGGCAGGCCCGCCGCCGTCCCGAGAGACGCCGCCATCCGCTACGCGCCCCGTAAAGCTTCCCGCCACTCTCGGGGCGCCCCGCAGCGTGCGTGCTTCTGCCGGAGGCCTCCGTGTGTATGTGTGTGTGTGGCTCACGACTCAGCCCCGTCTCCTCCCGCGCGACTCAGCGGGCCGGAGGTCAAGCTGGCTCCGCACTGCACCCTGTGATGGGCTGCTGGGGTTTCCCTTCGGGGAGAGCACGCTGAGCTGCGTTCGTGCAGCGGGGTCTCCGACCAAACCCCGACCCGTCCCCAGCTGGACCTGGGGAAGGGGCTCCAGGGTGTGGGCAGCACAGCCCCACCCTCCTGCCTGCCTGCCTGCCCGGAAGAGACACGCGAGAAGTGGGAGCCTGGCGCGGCTCTGCTTCCTGCCACCATCGGCCAAGGCCCTCCAGGCGGGCTTGGTTTTGAGATATGCGTCACAACCCCTCTGCTGACGGGGCCGTCCCGGCCAGCCCGGCTTAGGTGCGCTCTGTTGGAGCCGACAGATGGCCAGGACTCTGCTGACCAGCTCTCAGTGTCGCGGCTGACAGCAGTTCACACGGGCCTCTGCCCACAGGAGTCTCTGAGCGATTGGATGCTCACCTGCCTTGACTGTCCCCCGGCCTTGAAGGGGGTTTGGATCCCCACTTTTGACTTTAGGGTTCTAGACAAAAGAATTGATCAAGAGTCCTCCTAGCTTGGAAAAAAAAAGTGTTTTTCTTACGAGCAATATCAGCAAAAAAAAAAAAAAACTCCTATTCTTCATTACCAAAGTTAAATTGGTTTCATAAGTGTAGAGATAAAACACTAAAACACAAAGGTTTGGATATTCACATGGTAAAAAAACAAGGAGTGGAATAGGTAGTAGCAGGGAAAAATAGACACGAAACAGTTGTTTGCTGGGAACCCAGAGTGTCATTTAAAGCACTTATGGGTCACTGGGATGTAACCGTCCCGGGCGGGAATTTATGAAAGTGCCTTAACTCTCCGTGTTCGCGCCACCCCCATCCGGAGGGGTTGCAGGGCTTCCAGCCTCCGTGGCCAGCACGGGATGTCGCCTGGGCACAGCCTGGAGGGGAGCCAGGCCCCCTGCCTGTGGCCACCCCAGGCACTGAACAACAGGCCGCCACGGTGGCCTCTTCTGTGAGGTGTGGACCAAAGCCTTATTCCAGTGAGTTCTGCCCAGCGGGCGCTCAGGCTGGGATCCGGCCCTTCTTGGGGACAGCCCACGTCTCGTCATGGGTTTGAACAGCGTCAAGATGTGTTTCTTCCAGAATACAGCCGTGTGTGGCCTCTTCAACGCAGTGCCAGGAAGCAGGATTGCGACACACACGGGCACCCACGGAGCCAGCAAGGGTTGCATCCAGCTCGGCCCCGGAGGCCACGTTCCACACCCGGAATCAGACTTGTCTGTAGCCTAGACAGGGCCGTGGTTCCGAAGCAAACTGCCTGCGAGTGACCCGCAGGCCACGGCTGCCAAATGGCCAGTTGGTGCCCCTCTGCCCTGCTCGGGTGTTCACAGCTGGCAGCCCCACTGGGGCGTTTTTTGGTAAAAGGCCATTTTCAGCTCCCAAAGGAGGGGCTGGGACCCCCCAGAAACCCAAGCAGATGCCTGGCCTGTCCTCCTCAGCCCCGCTGGGGGCCAGTTCATTCCTCGTGCCCGATCCACAGTGCTCAGTGCTGCCCGCGGAATGACTGTTGAGTCAGAGTCACTGGCGGCGTTTGTTCGCGGAGGAGGAGAGAGCAGCGTGTTCAGGAGCGCGCGGGCACCCCTTGGGTGGGAGAGAACCGGAGTGCCCAGAGAGTAGGGGGCAGGAATCACACACACCGGGAAGAGAGGCGGGCAGCCCCCGAACGGGGAGGCGCCGAGAACCATCCAGGCACCGAGAATCTCACCGCTCCCTTTACCTCCCGCCCCTGCTCGCCTCAGCTGTCTCCAGGGTACCTCCCGGGTACCTATGTGGCCGTTGTGTGCCCGTGTTCCTGTTTATTTATTACGTGAGTGGGGAGCTCCTTGTCCTGCGGAGATTTCTGGGTCTGTGGCCCACCGCATCGTCCCTTCCCAGCCATGTGAGCCCACCCTGGCAGCCCAGCTGTACAGGGCTCGTGGGTGTTTGGAGGGGGGCAGGGGAGGCTGCCGTGCCGAGGGGCCGCACTGCAGGGCTGCTGCCCTTCCGCCTCTCGGCCCTGACAGCGGCAGGGGCGCGCGGCCACCCATTGCTCCGCAGAGAGGCTGCCAGCATGAGCGCCTTTCCCGGTGGCTCTGTGGCGAGTGCTGGCAGACCCGCAGCCCTGACCGCCCCCCATGCCGTGCCCACTCGCCGGGATGCCTCCAGGAGCACCTTTGCCTTTTCTTCCGTCAAGCACAAGCTTTCCTGCAGAAGGGCCAGTTGCATTTCTGTTCCTCTCAGCCACGGACTTCTGCTGACTGACTACTTTGATTTTGTGCTATTCAATATTCCTGAATGTATTAAAGTTCCTGAAACATTTCCAGCTTGGCTGTTTCTGACTCTGCCTGGCATGAACAGAACCCCCACCCCCGCCCCAAGGGCCTGGCGAGGGCAGTGCCTCCAACAGACGGGCTGGGGAAGGTGCCTCCAAGGACAGCTGCTCCAGGGCCCCAGGTGCGAGGTGGTGGTGCCAGAACGGCCCCTCGCCAAGAGTTCGGAGAGAACCAAGTCGGTAACGGCTCCATACCGAGGCTCAGCCGGGGCCCGCGTGTGCCTGCCCGGTGTCTCGGAGGCGTGAGCAGCACGCGGAGCGTGGCCTGTGTTCCTTGTCAGGGGCCCAGGAAGCTGCCAGGCGTGAGTGGCCAGGGGTGTCCTTTCCCAGGCCTGCAGGGAGGTGTGTGCTCGGGGCCATGGACAGTGTGGCCCCTAGACCTGGGTGTGGCGGGGACACACCAGGGACCTGTGTGCAGAGCCAGACGCTGATCTCTTGCCACCTCGTGTGTGGCAGCCCCGCCCCCAGGCCCCAGCATGAAGCAGGGGGCAGCATGGGCTGCCTTCCCCCTTGGGTTGGGGTGCTTCCCCCCACCCTTCCCGCAGACACCCACCTGCCTTGTGTAGCCTTGGGAGCAGACCACTGAGGAACCCGCATGTAGCCAGATACCCTGACCCCAGACCCAGGGGGCTCAGGAGTAACTGGGGAGACAACCCCAAGAGGGAAGCCCAGCCCAAAGGACTGTTCCCTCCAGAGCTTATCCCAGGGGACCGTCTCTGGGGAGGGAATCATTGACACCTGAGTTCTCGGACTCCTTGGGGGCAGGGGGCTCTGATGCTGCAGTTCCTGGAGAGGGGAGACAGCAGGCCAGAGACGGCTCACACCCACCACCCACCCACAGGGCTGGGGGCTGGGCTGGCCTGGCCTGGCCTGGCCTGCTTTCCGCTTGGGAGAGGAGGGGCCCGGTTGCAGGGAGAGGACTGCCAGGCTAGCGCTCTGCTGGCCAGGCTGAGCCCTTTGTCCATGGATCGTGGGCCAGGGGGATGGGGAAGGATGACTGGCCAGGAAAAGGGAGCCCCAGGAGGAGTGTCCACTGTCTACGGTGTAATTCGGGGGTGCATGTCTCATCCCGAGCACTCAGGATGGCCCCAGGGCTGCCCCCTACACAGGATGGAGGGAACTCCTCCCACCTCACTGAAGTGGTGACCTCAGGTCGTCTTTCCCAGTGCTCACCATTCTGCCCTGAGCTGTGGGTAGGGGGTGTCTAGGGGTCTGGGGCACGGCGGGAGTGGGGGGAAAACAGCTCCTGTGGGACAGTGTTGAGGCCCATCCTTGGGGTGTAGTGACAAGCCCCAGCACCAGAAGTCTTTGCTGGCCCACCCTGGAGCCCAGGTCGGCGTTCCCACCCCTGGGAGCCAGTCCCCGCATTTCCACGGTGTCTCCCCTCTGCTTAGTCGGCGGCACGGGGTTCCCAAGGGGCTGCTCTCTGGCCAAAACACCTTCCTGGGGCCTGGGAGGCGCTGGGCGGCCGGTATGGCTGCTCCAGGCCGTGCTGGGCCCATGAGGTCACTCCACTTCCTCAGCTGGCCCGGTTGGTTCCCAGGGACGTTGGCCACGCCACCTTCATCCTGGGTCTGGCATTTCTTTTCTCCCTGATGTGGCCCAGCTGGCCCGGCGCGAACAATCACGGGCCAGAGGCCACCCAGGTGCATCCTGCCCAGGAACAAAGGCGCTGCCTGCAGCAGGGGAGCCCCCGCCCGCGCTTGGACGGAAGGAAGGGTGGGTGCCCGCAGCCTTCAAAGCCGGCCTGGGGCTGAGCAGGGAACCCCTTGGGCAGCGGTGAAAGATGGGGCCTGCCAGGGGCATCCCCATCCCTCCTAGAGCGCCCCAAGCCTGGAGGGCTGCCCAGGCTGCTGGCCCCTGAGCCGCAATCTCCAGCCAAGTCGGGCACGGGGCAGGACAAAACCCAGGAGGTGCCCAAAAGCTGGTGGTGCCAGAATCAGCACGGCCAGCAAGGAACCTGGGAGAAGCAGGAGGAGCTGAGCATCTTGCCAGGAGGCACTTGAACCCATATCTTCCCACGGGCAACTTCGGAGGGGCCCTGGGTGCTGCTCACAATGGCTTCACTGGAGACCTGTAATGAGAGCACTTGGACCCAGGCCAGAGCATCTTGGCCCCTCCCTGTACACCTAACAGACACAAGAAGGCTTCAGGGGGAAACTGGGTGCTCGAACCTGGGGGTTCTAAGAGCTTGGGGAGCTGGTACAGAAGAGACCTGAGCTGGGCCTTGCCTGGCCACTGGTGGCTTGAGGCGCCCTTCCAGAGGGACCAGGAGCAACCTTGGGGTCTTGATGCTCTTGGCTTCATGGACCAGCTGTGGAATCGAAGCCTTGGGCTCCTGGCCACAGGGTTGAAGCAGTGGACATTCAGGCTGGGGGCGCAGGCAGCAAGGAGCCAGGGCCCAGGACCAGGGTGGCGGGTGTGAGAATGGCAAGGGTCCACATTGGGTCCTAGGGGACAAAAATAACTTGGCGGAGCTCTGTGCCTTGAGTACAGTCAGGCCCAGGTTTGATACATGGCCCCCCATGTGATGCCCTGAACCCCACCAGGAGTGATCCCTGAGAATAGAGCCAGGAATAAGCCCTTGAGCACAGCCGGATATGAACCAAACCCATCCCTGTCCGCCCTGCCTCCCCCACCACCACTTTTTTAAAAAAAAAAAAAAAGCTGAAGGTTGAAGGGTTGAAGGTTGACTCTGCTCCTCACATGTCACTCCTGGGCCGCAAGGTCACTCAGTCAGGCTGCCAGCAATAATGTGTTTGTTGAGTGTAGACTAGGCGGGTGGGGGTCCAAGTCCCACCTGGTGGCAAACTCACTCAAGGGGCGAAGGCTCTGGAAGAACTGTGGTGGGGAGGGGGGCTCCTCCAGTTCCCTGTTTCCTCTCCACCGGGCTGAGAAAGGGGGGGGGGGGGGCAGGACTCTGAGACCTCAACTGGGCAAGAGAGGGACAGACAGGGCAAGTGCGGCCCGACTGGAAGCTGCAGAGGCAGCTGGGGGCACAGGGTACTGTATCCCCCGTTCCCAGCATCCTCACACAGGTCTTGCCCAATGGACTTGGGTTCTCAGGGTGTTCTGGGGTCCTCGCCCTTCAGCCCACCCTCCTCTGCACTTCCTACCACCTCCAGGACCCCCTGAATTTCAGAGAAAACAGGGACCAGGGGAAACCCAGCCTTTGGTGCTAAGAATGACTAGGGGAGGTGGAGCTATGGGGGGGGGGGGGCGACACCCTGTGTTCCCCCACCAGGCCCTGGTGGAACCTCAGCAACCCACATTGCAGGGGGGTGGAGCATGTGGACCCCCGACACCCGCTGATCCCTACTGTCTAGCGCTGCTCACTGCTGGACCCACCTTGGGGCTACTCCAAGTCGGCCCAGATTCGAGGTGGAAGGTCCCCCATATGGCTGGGCTGGGGTGCAATAGCCGGGGAGCAGGACTGGGCTGTTGGGGGGAGGGGCAGCTCTGAGTGTGTGTGTGTGTGTGTGTGTGTGTGTGTGTGTGTGTGTGTGTGTGTGTGTGTGTGGTGGCCCAGGCGGGTGGAAGACAGCAGGGACCTGATTCGGGCCGGGGGGAGTCGGGGGACCTGGGAGCCGGGGCGGCTTCCAGGTGGCATCCTCAGAGTAGGTCCTCCCGGCCTCCCGCCCCCTCCCCGACGGACCCTTCTAGCCCAAGGCTCAGAACGGGCGGCGCTGAGGCTGGGGAACCGCAGGTCCCCGGTGAAGGGCGGGAGGCTCTCCAACACCGAGAGAGGAGTCAGAAAGATTTGGGGAGGCTCCGGGCGGGCGCTGCGCTCTTGCATCCCAGCCCAAGCTCGGGGAGCCGGTGACCCAGGGGCGCCGGCCACCCCGGCAGAGCTGCTCCCCGAGAACGCTGCCAGGCACCGGGTGGGGTTCCACGAGGGGCGCGGGTGCGAGCGGCGCTTTCGCCGGAAAACGGGGGCAGCAGCCCAGCAGCTCCCCGAAGGGGAAGGGGCGTGACGCTGGGGGTGGGGCCAGGAGGGGCGCGGCGGGGAGCGCCCCCGGGGGGCGGCGGGCCCGGGATGGGGGGGAGTGCCGGGTTGGGGGGGCGCGTCCGGGCTGGCAGCTTCCTCCGGGGCGCCCTCGGGCCTCATTCTCCCCGCACGGCGGGGCGGGGACAGCGCGGGTGTGGGAGCCGCCTGCAGGGGGCGCCCGCGAGCGGCGCGGCCGGAGCCCGAGCGGGAGCCGGAGCCGGAGCCGGAGCCCGAGCGGACGCCGGGAGCGCAGCAGGTCAGCGCGGGGCCCCGGGGCCGGGAGGGCGAGGGTCCTGGGGGCGCGGGGGGGCGGCCGGGCGCGGGACGGGCGGCCGTCGGGGCGGGCTGCCCGGAGCGCGCGCCGGGTGGATGGCGGCGGGGAAGCCCCCCTTGCCGGGGCCGGCCGGGGCGCGGGACCAGGGGGTCCCGTCGGCGGGTCCGCCCGACCCCGGGGGGCGCGGGGGTCCCCGCGGCTGGGCGCCGTCTGCGGGGGACCCCACGAGGGCTGGGCGGAGGACGGGGCGCGGGAACCACGGCGGGAGGGCCCCCAGGGCGGCCGAGGAGCGGGCCCTGCCCTGGAGGGTCCCGGAGCGGAGCGGCGTCTTCACTGCCCGGTCCCCTCCGCACCGCCCCGCTGGCCGGACCGCTGTGGGGGGCGGGGAGACCCTCCGGCGGGCGCTGCTCGTCGGGTCCTCGCCCTCAGTGGGCTCCGCTGCTTCCCCCGAGGACTCCGCGCTGGTCCCTGACTCACCCACTCGCGGGTCTCAGCACCGTCCGGGCCGCCGCATCCCCGGGAGTCCAGCGTCTCTGTGGGACAAGCAAGAGGCGCTCTCGCTGCCCCGTCGGGCAGGTGCAGAGAGACCAGCGAGGGGGTCAGGGATGGGCACGGCGGCCCGGGTGCCAGCCCCGGGCGTTAGGGAAGTAGGGGTCCCCCCTCGGGCAGAGAGACATCCGATCTGGGGCTGGAGGCAGGGCCTGACCTCAGGGCATCGCCCCCGC